TTCTCTCGTTCTCTGCTTTCATTTCAATCGCGCATTGAACTTGGAATTTCTTTTGAAATGAAACACTTTTTCTTCTTCTGTTGTTGGGCTCCCGCCTACGTCCATCCCAGTGAAGTGACGAAGTTCCTTGGAAATTCTATTAATCAATTGACGGTGACTCCAAGTCACTGCTTAACCTTAAGGTTACTCTTCACTCTTCTTCTTTTTGTCACCCCCTTTTTACAAGTACTTTCTGCCGCTCGCTTCTCGGGCCCGTTTGAACGATAATTACATGTCGTCTTAGGCGAGCACACAACCCATCGAGCTGGGGCTTTGGGGGTAGGTCTCTATGTATAGTTGGGGCTACGTACTGCACGGACTGCACGGACTGCTGCTGTGAGAGGTGACTGGCAAAGTGTTAGTTACATGGGACGCCGCCATTCTCCGCCATTCTCCGCCGCCCTGGCACGTAATTTGCTGATTTTGAATTTCGTCTGCGACGGCGGCAAATGAAATGCTTCTGCATTTTAATGCTCCCCAGACTGACAGCTGCCTGCCCGCCTGCCGCCCCTCTCTCCGCCTGTGTGCAGGGTGCAACACCACGTTGATGGTGTGGGGCAGGCGCTGGGGCAGGGGGATGGCTGCCTACTGGGGTCTCTCCAAGTTCATCTCTTTCGCTTTGTATTTCGTTATATTTTTATTTTATTTTATATGCCCGCATTTTGTATACACTTTCCGGAGGATATCTGCCACGGAAGGAGTCGCATGACAAAACAAATCTTTGTGCGGAAAAGTTGTTCGTTTTTTGGTCAGTAATATTATGAATAATAATATATAATAAATACTGTATAAATTAGTTGAGCTGCGAGAGTATCAGTGGCTTCGGCACCCCCCAAAGCCAGCTTCTGTTGGTTCTTGTTTTTTTTTTTTTTTTTTTTGTTATTTTTTGGGAGGCAGAAAAACTATTTGTTGCTGCCGCCGCTGCTGTCAACTGCAGGGGGAGGCTCTGGTAGGATCTGTGGCTGATGCTGGGGCAGCAGCATCATGCCCCGGGCTGGCACCCCTCTGGTGCGACCCCACCCCTTCCCTTTTTGCGTAACCCCATCCCTGGAACATATTTGCACTGTCTGGCAATTTTTAAGCAATTTCAGCTCCAGCTTGGGCATGACTTGGCGCTCGCTTTGGGTGGGACTGCGCCCCGCACCATTTCCCGACGGCACTGCATCCTGTTTAAATGTTTTCCCTTTCCTTTCCTTTCTGTTCCTTCTCGTTTTTTTTTTTTCTGTTTTTACAGTTACTTTGGTAGCATGGAGCAGGGTACCGGGGGGGGGAGGCACAGTCACAGTCACAGTCACAGGGACAGCGCGTCGTCGAAATTAAAAATAAATTTCACAGTAAACACACATAAAAAGAGACGCTGCTGCCATGGCTGGCACTGGTCGGGCGGGGGCCCACGTCTTCTCAGGGTTGTTTGTGCAGTGACCGGGGTTGGGGGGGAATGGTGGATGGGGGGGGGTATACATCCGATTAGATTGATCGAATCTCGACCGGAGATATCCTCTGTAAGGCATCGCCATGCCCAAGCGACTTCTAGCCACGGTTTTTCTTTGCATTTTTCTTTAATTTTTTTTTTTGTGGGGGTTTCACAATCATCAACTCAGAAGAGTTATTCCATCTGTTGAACTACGAATCTATATATTAATTACAGCAACATTTCTTTCTTGCCTTATCAGTGTCAAACCAGTTCCAGCCGCTGCCTTTGGTCCTGGGTATCCCTCAAAAAGAAGCAACACAAAAAAGACGAAACAAATTTGTGTATACGAGTGTGTACACCGAATTTCCAGGGGAACAGAGCGAAGGAACAGCAGCATCGTAGTGCCAAAACGCCGGACGTTCAAAAATAGTTCGACGAGGGACTGGGGAGGGACTCGGGAGGGACTGGGATGGCAACGGCAACGGATTCTGCAGCTTCTGCAGATTGGCGGTGTCTCAGCGCAGCAGCGACTCTGCCCTTGAATCGCATTTCGGGGTTGGGCTGGCTGGCTGCCTGGCCTGGCTGGTGGGGGGAGATATAGTGGAGAAGCGTGCCAAGAGCCGGCCGACGTTCAACGGCGTACAGCTGTCCGGGAGAGTGGTGATGGAGTGGGAGGGGGAGTGGCAATGGGATGTGCGACTCTGGACTTTGGATCGGAATGGCTGGCTGGCTGGCTGGCTGCCTGGCTGGCTGGGTGGAGGGGAGGTGTGCAGGCAGGCAGATCAGGGAGTGTAACTTACACGTCTGATGCTTATATTTAGCAGCCCAGGCAACAATGATGGAAAATCCAAACGGGGGATAGCAACAGCAACAGCGACAGCAAAAAGCGAAGGAAAATGAAAAGCAAAGAAAAGCGACACGACAGATGAAAGCAGTCGGCGGCGGAGGCGGAGGATGAGCAGGCACTGAGCACCGAGCACCGAGAGGAAGTGATGGCTCGACAATGCAGTTGCCATGGAGAGGGCTCTCTGGCCCTCTGGCTCCACGGCGTAGCCCTCCTATTTTTTGAAAGTCCCCCCCCCCCCTTAATGAGCGGCAAAAACTGTCAACTAAATGATGGGGAGCGAGTGGGCCCAGGGCCAGGGCTAGGGCCAGGGCTAGGGCCAGGGCTAGGGCCAGGGCTAGGGTCTGACGGAAAGGATTCCGATTTGATTTGATGGAATTGAAATTGATTTGGATTGAGGGGGCGCATTGAGGACCGTTTGCGGGGTCTAACAATAGATTAAAGAGCGCCAGCTGACAGCTGCGGACAAAGAAAATAACTTGGAACTTTTTCGAATTGGGACTAAAAGATTTACGAACAAAGATTCCCCCTCCCATGCCCAACAGAAGAAATTCACAAAAATATGCCCTGGCAAAATATAGACTGGCTTTCCAATTCCAAGATCTGGTGGGGGAAATATATTCTCCTAATAATACTTTAGTTAGGGATAATCTGGTAACTTTTCGGCAATTAATTGCTGCAGATTGTGCCCGTTGAATATATAAAAAGCGCATTTATTTTTTATTTATGCATTCATTTCGAATGGGAAATATTTCCAAACTACGTACAGGCCCCAGTTCGGTGGAACCCTATCGTGTGGGTCCACAATTTATGGGATCTTCTTGCTCCTTGTTATCGGGGGTAGGCTCTCCGGCTTGCTCATTTTGTTTTTTTTTATTATAGTTCTGAGATTGTTTATAAACAATAAATGGAAAATGGTTGGCAAGCCGCGATTGGAAATGGATTTTCTTATCCACAGGCAGATAAAGGGAGCGAGAGGGAGTCACATATATACATGCATAAATACATATATGCATACATACATACATACACACATACATACATACATACACATGTGCATTCATCTCGCTCTGTCGCTCTGTCGCTTTTGTGTAAATTTAGAGCTAAGTGAGTGAAGGAGCAAGAGGGAGAGCGTGAGAGAGAGAAGGAGAGAGAGAGAGAGAAGAGAACGCATTGATATTCCCATGCGGCGGCCATAAATTACGGGACAATTACCCATCGAAAAAGAAAGCAGGGGCCGGAGGAGGGAGGCAGTCGAAAAATATCCCCGAAAGAAAGCAGCGCCAAAGAGAACTCAAACCGAACCGAACCGAACCGAAATAAGCAGAAAATTGGAAAAGAGCGCAACGCTGCCCCCCGACACTTCATCACACCGTCGCCGCCACCGCCCCCGACAACACCACCGTCGCCGAGCAGCACTAAGATTCCTGTCTCCCGCTCTCACACCCGCCCTCACACGCGTAGTTTAAATTGCGCTCAGAGCAATCGTGCCATAAATTTCCCCTCCCCTCACTACGAATAAGTTGTTTATTTTTGGGTGCTGCTACTGCTGCTGCAATCTTCTCATCTTTCCATCTTTCGGTACTGCTCATCCCCAATCTCACAACTCCCCCCCGACCCGCTCGCTCCGGCATGTCACTATGTTTGTGTATCGATTCAATTATGGAACATTTCTGAATCGACGCATCATGCAGTCGATTGATTAACAAGTATACTAGGAAAGGAAACCATTCTTTGGCTCCCACAGCGCCAGATCAAATTGGCGTTATACGCGTGGATCGACCGATCGACCCTTGATCAAAGCTCCACTTCCCACAAAAAACGGGAATGCTGCACCATATGTTAATGCGGTCGCTGCAATCCACACACAGTCCAGTCCAGAGGTTAACCCAAACGGAGAGCCAGCACACTGCTTACCTGAGAGGGGAGCAACACTTAGGGGGTAGGGGAGCGGGGTAGCGTGATGTGGGTGATTTGCCAAAAAGGCGAACAGCTGCTGCTGCTGCTGACGGCGCAGTGGAGGTGTCATGACAGCATTGACCTCTGCAGAGCTCCTCCAGTTGTTGGTGGTCCACACTCCACTGCGGCGCGGAAAGTGGCGCATCTAACAGCAAATCAGTTGGCAATTAAGGTGCACAGCCGCTGCCAGATGGCCAGCGATAGGGAGAGCACAGCCGCCACTTAAGTTTCATCCATCCACTCCTCTCCGCCGCTACGATTCCTTATCAATTTCTTATCTCTGGCACAAGAACAGCCACAAACAGCCAGTTAACAGTGGTTTAACAGTGGCCCAACAGCTGTCCAACCGATCTGCCATGCAACATGTGTTTCGCGTCATGCATGTTGGCATCGAACCAGCAGCATTGAAACTCGCACGCGTGACGCAAAAATGAGCTCCGGCCAACTCGAACCTCGAACCTGCGGGCTATGGCAAGGTATGGGCAATGAGAAAATGCGACGCAGCAACATTTCAGTGTCCCACGAACCGCACCTCAGCGTGTTTGATCAACAATGTGCTATGAAACCAGCACAGCATGTGGAAAAAGAGGGTGAGCTCTGCCTTGCGTGTATCGTATTTCGTGGGCCGTTTTGCCTGCTGGCCATACCCGCTCGTTTCGTTAGCAACACGCGTTTGTTGCCGCGCAACATTTGAAGGCGGGCGGATTCGAAAGCCGGCCTTGCCGCCCCAATGTATCTCGTATCTCAGAAATGTTTGGTAGTGACATGGTCGAGACACGTCCATTCACGTTGTGGGCTGCGGGTGTATTCGAAACATATTCGTCGTGTTTATCGTGAAGCGTAAATTGTTTGTTTGCAAACATTCGTGCATGAATATTATTTTTAAAAGTAACAAATAAAAAAACTTAAAAAAAATACAGAGACAACTTATCGAAGTGGTGTGAACAGCATAAAATCTTCATATTTGGATAATTGAGTGAAGTTTGCAAAATAAAAATTTGATTAAAAGTGGAAAGATTTAAACCAAAGAACGAACCTCAGCAAGAGTTTTGAGTGGCATAAACAAATGTCAGTTCGGTGCAACAAGAAGAGCTGCAAAATTGATTTAATTTTTTTATAATTTTTTTCGTAATATTTAAAAAAAAAAAAAATAAAATAAACACAAGTGCAAAACCCCAAAAAAGAAATATATGTTTTTTTTTTGGTGTGGATTACCAGTGAAGGAAAGTGAAGTGAACGGCTTAAATGGATTAAACAGAAATTAAAAAGAAATTAAACAGAATTAAAAATAACACAGAGAGATAGAAAGAGAGAGAGCGAGAGATAGTATGCAGTGGCCGAGTGCACGCGATTGTTCCTGCAAAAAGATCTATATAGTAATACTCGTCGACTGATAAGTCCGAATATCTTTTCGGGCAGGGAACCAATAATACGCCGACTGTGAGTAGCAATTCTGTTTAACTGTTTTATTTGTGGCCAGCTGCACACCTTTTGGATATTCTATATATTCCTTTTTTTTGGGCTGGAAAATGCACTAATACCCCCCTCCCCTGCCCACTCAACATAGAGTTTAGCCAGCAACAGTAGCTGCAGCTCAACTTTGACCTTTTATTTTTTGTTTTGTTTTGTTGTTGTTTTGTTTAATAAATACAGTTAGGGGCCACACGCTTTGAAATCAGCCTCGGTCTCGAGCCTCTGACATTTTCCCTGTTGCGGTGTGTGGGTGGTGCTGTCGCTGGATCCGTGGAATCGAATGCAGAATGGGCATGGAAATGGGTATGGGATTTTCCTTAGGCTATGCCAAGATTTATCGTAGCTTGAGAACCATTTAATGCACGGGGAGAACTATGTAAGAAGTGGCTGTGATCGCGGCAAATATTTATTATTCATTTATTATAGCTATCCAAATAGAACTTCTCTGGCTGAATTTTAAAATAGATTTTTTACGCAAAAGATCGAAGCTTATTTGGGGGAAGATCTCTGTCATTGGATGAAGATTTCCTTTGAGGATTATATCCATAAAAAAATGTTTATTTTTCAACAATTTCTATACCTAAAATAAAGCAACTATTTTCCATCAAAGAACTATTTCATTTAAGGAAAAATTCAAAACGTTTATATTTATTAATTTTTGTTCTTAAATATTCTGTAATACATTTAATGAAAAAAAAATGTGGCTTATTTTTTTCTAAATGATTTCCTCTTAATGCTTTACACTTTCTTCTGCGTTAGAACTGGCCACCTGGCCACCAGACCTTAATTGACTTTTTCCCATCTTTACCATACCATCAAACTGATAGTACCATCCCCCCACTCCCCCCTCAAATGCTCTGCTTGAGTCTCTGCCTCCAGTCTGTTCATCTTTTCAGCTCTTCTTACCGACTTTTGCATGATTTATGATTACTTCAAAACGATTATCAGTCGTAGGCCATTTAGTACAAAAAGATTATATAAATATATACATTCAGAGGGGGTTGGGGGGGGGGGTTAACAAAAACCGAAACAAGTTTTCCTCACTTAGTATTTGTGCCTTCGATTTGCCTCGAGGCTGCAGTGTCAATGATGCCACTGCCACGGCCCCAGAAGCTCCTCCACACAGACACACAGCGGCTCGGATCTGTATCTCACAGATACACCGAGGCACACGCACCTGTCCCTTGTCATTAAAAAACAACACAAAACAAAAAAGGGCCAGAGAAAAGTTTCATCTTTGGCTCTGGGCTTTGGTTCCGTTTGCTGCTGGCTGCTGCTGCTGGGCGCTTCTGGGCTAACCTTTTCCTTGGCACCAGCTCCTGATTCTTCACAGTTTGCTGCTACTTCTTGGTATATACCCTGTGTACCCTGTGGCGTTGAGGGCTATGCCATAAAAAGGCAGGCTAAGCCGTGGCAATTTCACTTGTTCAAAAATGCTGAATATTCAATCACTTTTAATGGGTATCACTCAGTCGGGCATCGGCTGTCTTTTTTTGCTCCATATATGTAGGGCTGTTTTTTTTTTGTTTTGTTTTTTTGATTTTATAATTTGGCCCAATTTGCTGGCATTGCAAATTGCTGAAAACGTCTGAAACAATCGACAGGCTGAGCGGTGGGGTGGGAGTGGCAGGGTGCAGGGGCAGGCCGACGGAAGTGCAACATGCTCATGTCGCAAGTTGCTGTTGTTGCTGTCGCTGCTGTTGCTGTAGATATTGATTGCCGTGGCACGGCCTCCGTCTCCTGGCGTTTGGGGCACGGCACCCAACATTTGTTGGATCGTTTTGACGCGTCCTCGTCAGCATGTCGAAACTTATTTTTCCTTTTCAATTTCAGTTTTCTTTCTTTTTGATTTTGCTGCTGCTGCTGCTGCTGCTGCTGCTGCTGCTGCTGTCGCTTTGTTAGTTCTTTGCATGCCACAAATTATGTTTCGGTGCTGCCGCCTTGCCGCCTCGCCGCCTCACCTTGAGAGCTGTCAGCCTTTTTGACAGTTTCTGCTGTAGCGTTGCCACTGATTTGACTGGCGCAGGAAGGCTCCCCACGATGATGCCTGGTAGGCAGCCCCCCCCCCCCACCCCTGTACTCCTGTAGCCCTTTGGGCTTTGCACCCCATGAGCACAAACAAAAAAAAGAGAAGTAAAAGAAGCTGATTGGCTGTCTTCTTGTTCAGTGCTTTAACATTCGCCTTTTTTTCAATAAATAATAACACGATTTTACCATTAAATGTAAATGTAAAAGTGAAAAGTTTAATTCGTTTTAACAGAAACTTTAAGTAAATGCAAAACATCTTCATATTTATTTTTGATTTCACATTTTAATTTTTGTTGCTGTCTGAAGGGCATTTTTTTTTTGTTCTTGGAATTGTCTGAAATATTCTGCAGGGCGAGAACAGAAAGCATCTGCCCCTTTGATGGCAGTAAAGTAGCCCAAAACCGGTGGGCGAAACGATTTGACTACGCTTCAGCTTGGAATCCATCAAAGATTTGCATCTCACAGCTAATTTTTTCCACTAATTTCTCGAGTCATCGCAGCGAGAGAAGCGGCAAGGGGAAAAATGCGAGGCAGTGAGAGGAATGGAAAACAATTTATCCCTTGGTTAATTTGGTTAATTGAAGACAATTGAAAGCCGCTTTGCAGTTCATTAAGCCTCATCAGGCGATGAAGAGCGGCTTCCAGCATTCAGCCATCAGCCTCCCAGCCATCAGCCTCCCAGTCATGAGCAGCAGCAGCAGCAACAGCAGCAGCCTCTGGCCTTAGATCCACAGCCATCAGCTTCTTGGTTCTTGGCTCTTCTTTTAGCAGCATGACCCCCCCCCCCGTCTGTTCCCTGTCCTCTGTCCCTTTCCGTTCCGTTCATCGTGTGTCCGCTGCTTGTTGTCTTGTCGCCAGACTAATTAAAATATTTGCACTCAAATGCTTAAGCAATAAATATTTGTCAAGCTATCATCATTAGGAGCCAGCGAGGGGGGGAGCACAGATGGGCCATGGAATGGGGGGTGGGGGGCCTGACCCAAAAAAAAAATAAGTGAAGCAGAAAGAGGCAGCAGCTGAAGAGCTCCAGCACTTTTCAGGGATGCTCATGCTGATGGGGATGGGGAGGGGTACAAAGTGCAAATGGAAAATGAAAATCTATGAGAGCGGCATTTTAAAGTGCCTCCCTCACAGGCACCCACCCTCCCATTCCCCCATTTGGGGTTTGGCCTGCATTTTTGATGAGCTTTAATGGCGCCGCCTTAATGCAAGTGAAGCAGCAGCAGCAGCAGCCATGCCCCTGCCCCTGCCACTGCCACCCATCGATACGTTTTATAGAGAGATCCCATCGAGAATGCCAATTAATAGTCATTGATGGGAAAAGTTGTACCAGAGCCAGCAGGAGGAGGAGAAGCAGCAGCAGCAGCAGCAGCCGATTGAAGTGTGCCCCCTGGTAGCTCCTCAAGTCAATAAGTGGCGTGGGTGGCAGGGAGGCAGTGAGGCAGTGAGGCAGTGAGGCAGGGGGGAAGATTGCTCTTACGGCCCCGGTCATGTGTGATTCCGTTCCGGGCTTTTGCTGGCCCACCCTTCCAACGCTTTGCGAGGGTTGGCAGGCGGCCCAAAACAAAAAAAAGAAGGAGAAGAAAGGAAGAACAGGCCACGCGGAATGGAGACAAACATCAAATTAGTCTAAAATCGCAGCAGCACAAATGGGGTGGGCTGGGGGGAGAAGAGATCCAGCAAAACTGAGCTCAAATGGGCATAAAATTTCCTTATTGTTGGCCATTGAATGCCGCACAATAGTTTTTGGGAATAAGTCGAAGGCGAAATTTATGCCATATGGCCTAGAAATTGGAATAGAATGAGGGGATATAGGATTGAACGCACAAAGCAGGGAGTATGGTGGTGCGAAGGGGGGACAGGGGGTAACTAGCTGTGCGATTCAATAGAAATTTAATGGCAGGAACTCTTTTAATTGGGTACAGGGTACAACAAAACGTTAATTGAGTGGCATGTGGCAGGAGTCTTTTTTCCCATCTCCATGACTATATATGTAGATGATCCCCCCACCCCCTGCCATTCCAGTAAATGATTCTGTTTTTTCGCGCCCCTCCATCCGTCTTGGGGGGGCAAAAACATTTTCCTGCAGCAATTGAACTCGAGTCAAGCCAAGAGAAAAGAAAACTGAAATAACTTATGAAAATGTTTTACAATATCCTTTTCATGTTATTACAAGTGTATGTCCTTGTCGTCAGCTTTGTCAAAATGTCTGGCAACGCTTCTACTTCCTGCGCTCTTTCTCATGTCCACCCTGCCGCACCCTGCCGCACCCTGCAACATTTCTTTCGCTTACCCCCGAACCAATCCAAGTAGCTTCTTGGCGTGGAACATCTCTACTCCGTTGGGGCGTCGTCAAGTTCGCGCTGCGTTTGAATATGTCATTATACACTGCCCAAATGGAGGCTCCTTACGATTTCATTCGAATATAAAAGGAAAATATATTTTAGATATATAATTTAAATCTATTTTTATTTGATTTAATTATGAAATGTATTTATTTGATATGCCCATTAAATATATTTAAATCGAATATTTTTACATTAATGCTAAAATTTAAATCATAGCATTTCCTGCTGCAATTTCCACGCTCTCGGTGAAAAATCCATGGGTATCCATGGCGCAACTTTGCGACTCTCGCGGCTTTGGTTCGCCAGGTGTCGATAATCGGCTGACTATATTCGAGTGATTCGAGAGAGTATCAGAAGCCTCGACGCAGAAGTCTATTCGTATTCGCTTCGTGTTACTGCTCTCCCTCCCACTCGCCCTCTCCCTCGCCCTCTCCCTCGCCCTCTCCACTTTCAGGAACAACAATGTTGACGCGTTGTCGTTGTTGTTGCTGCAACCCTTCGCTCCTTGCCTTTCCTTTTCCTCTTCCTCTTCCTTGCCATGGAGTAAGGAATGTATGCTGATGTGTGGGTGTGTGGGTGTGGTTGGGTGGGTGGGTGTTTGGCTGGCCCGCCTGACGGAAGTGACAGTTGAACATTCATTCATTCATTCGCTCATTCATTCAGCAACCCACTCACACACCCATAGTCACAGTCACAGTCTCCTCTCCTGTCCTGTCCTGTTCTGTTCTGCCCCTCGCGCATTCGGAAAAGGGGAAAAATCAAGCCAAAGCAGCGACCGAACAGGAACCATAAAGGAAAAGCTTGACGGGCCAGAAGTAAAGTGAAGCAGGCAACCAACATACAGAAAACAGAAAACAGACAACAACAACAACAAAAAAAACATGAACCAAAAGAAAGAAGAAAATATCTACAAAAAATTTCTATGGCAATTTGGCATCCGAATTTCAAGAGGGTGGCTGGGAGCTACGCGAAGGGATTGGAGATGGACGCGTGATCGTACGGTCTCGATAGCTGGAGATCTGCTTTGGAGGAATTTATATAAACAGCAGAGCCAAAGATCACAGCTTATATTTTGTATTAAGCCTTAAATTAATAATTGAATAAACATATATAAAATGCATAGAAATACAACAATATTTTAGTCAAAACTTCCTTGGACTTCCTTGCCTCTAAAAAATGATATTGATCACATTTCCGCACCAACAAACGATGTTCTTGTTCTTGAACACATTTTTGAAATGAAATACAAATGAAACTCGTGCCAGAGAAATATCAAAAGGAGATGGCATAATATTTCGAGGGTGGCGAACTTTTAGATGAAACTTTCTGTTCCATCTTTTCTGTGCCGTATTCAGCTCGTGAGTTTTGTCCCTTTGCCATCTCCAAGCGCAGCTCTAAATAGCAGTTGGAGTAGTCGGAGGACAACTAGAAGTGGGAGTAAACCATGTGCGATGTCTTCGCCTTCGCGACTCCACGGCGGAAGCACAACGCAATGACTGAACGGAAGTTTTTTGGAAGCGCATAAAATTATTATGGAGTCGTCTTCCATTTTTTTTGTGTGCTCCTTCTCGCTGCCCGTTCTGTGCATTCGTTCGCGGACGTGGCGCGCGCGTCAATTGCGGGTCCGAGTCCGGGGAGAGAGATAGAGAGAGGAGGACCTTCGTTGCGGCTCTGCTGGCACTTCATAGTCCCGTCCCTGCCGCAGTCAGCTTTTTATGGCTCGACGAGCTCATGTCCTCCCTTGGATCCTCACTGCCTCATTGCCTCACTGCCTCACTGCCTCACTGCCCCACTGCCCCTCGCCTGCTGTCGGGAGAAAGACCTTTGTGAGAATTCACTTTAGTTTTTGGCAGTTACTGGACGATTGGTTTAGTTTTGTCTTTCTGCCGTCCATGTCCATGTCCATGTCCATCCCTTTCCAGCTGCCCCTTCTACCGCTTCTGTCCCTGGCTCATACTATTATTATTATGCGCAAATTTAATATTTACATTTAGCCAAAGTGGATTTTGGGCTTCCACTTCCACTTGGCTATCGTTGACTCTATTTTCTTCGTCTCCGTCTTCGTCTCTGGCCACAGCATTTTTATCAACTGACAACTTCTGACCGCAGAATGTTCCCTCTAGCTCGGCTCCGTCAAAGATGTATCTACAAGATAAACAAGAACAAGCCCAGGCAGCAGCAGCAGAAGAAGCAGCAAAAAAAAAATAAAATAAAATGGCATTTAGATAAGCCGAAAAACTTTTCCCTCTGCCGCCTGCCGCCTAGGATAGCGACCGGGGCCGTGGCCTGAGAGGTTATACGATAGCAGCAGGCGCAGGGGGAGGGGCAGGGGTGCTGGCCAGCATATGAAATATTTGTGGTCTTGTGTGTGTGGCCAAACAACTCTCACGAGATGCCAGTGAGCGACGATAGCCGGACACGCCGTACGCTCCGGAACGAAATTTGCTGCAGAACGAGATCTGCACAGGAAAGTGCTAGCCCTGGAGCCAGGCGGGGGTTGGGGGAGGGCAGAAATCCCATTGAATTTCACAAGAAAATCTTTCAATCAGATTGCAACTAAATTCCCTACATTGATTAGAGGAAACTTTTGTGGGGGCGGTCGCAAATCATTCTCGTTCGGGGTAGGTTCCATCACATTTTACATGCTAATAGAATTTTGCTGTTATCCAAATTCAACAACAACAAAAGCCACAGCAACAATGTATATAAAACAATGTTTTGCAGAAAATATTCCATTGGTTTTTTGTTGCACAGACAATCAATCAATTAAACCATCAATTATCGCATGGATGGCCTATGGCGGCAGCGTTATCCCATCGATATTAACTCACAATATTAATAAACGGAAAGCTATAATTATTATTATTATTATTTTTGTACTCTCTAAAGTCACAAAACAAAAACAAAAACAAACACCATTCCGTTAGCACATTTATTCAATTTTTTCAATTTTTTTGTCTGTGGAATGTTTAAGAGAAAAAGGATTTTTAGAATATTTTTTTTTAGTTTGTAAATTTATTTATTTATTTACTTATTTAAATGGAAAACTAATAAATAAATATTTGTGCAATATATTATAAATTTCATTTTAGTTTACATTTTTTTTTAATGTAATTATTAACATTATTTGTTTTCTGAATTTCTTTTATTTTAAATGTGCTCTCAGCAGTTCCTTAATATTATTATTATGCCTTTTTTTTGTCTTTACTAATATAAAAAAAATATATATATATAAAATGAACTCACTTCGCTTAGAAATGCTACGGGAAAATGTTTCTAATAAATAATTCATTTGGTTTTTTTTTTGGGTTATTTTTGGGCTATGACTCATTATGCAGCCACCCTTGCAACCCCCCCATGGCCCACCCCACACAACCCCCCACCTTTGAGGGTTCCAGCTGCCTTTGTGCTCTAGTTTAAGTTTCGATTTTGTTTGTTGTTTAGTTTTAACGAGTAGAAACGCATAGCAGCAGCAGCAGCAGTTCTCGGACAACCCCCAAAAGAAAAAACATCAGCAAAAGGCGAACCCAATCGCAGTCCACCCTCGCCCCGTATGAGTCATGCAATTGTCTACCATCTGGAGGAACCCCCAGCCCCACGGCATATCCCATCCCATCCCATCCCCCGTTGTGGAGGTTGTTTTTTTCCTGGGTAAATCGTTAAATTAGCGCACTTTCGACAGCAGCTGACTGACGGGATCTGACGGGATATGTGTACTGTGGGGGGGTGGTAGGAAACAGCTGACGCAGCAGCTGGGGCGGGTTGGCTGGGTTCCCCTTGAACGCCCTGCCCAGAACTCCACACAACTCTGAGTTGATTTCGATATTTTTATTTATTCCCATTTTGATACCCGGCCCACGCTCCCCACCCACTCGCTTCCGACTGCCGTTGAATTTGTAAAACATTTCCAAGTACACGAGCGACAAACAGGCAACCACTTAACGCTTGTTGCCACGTTCATCCATTTTGTAGTCCTGTCCTGCCATGTCCTGGAGTGCGTTTGCACCACCTCCTGTAGTCCTCCTGCCCACACCACCCCCACCAGCAGCAGCAGCAGCAACAGCAGCAGCTGGAAAAAGAGACAATCGCCTGATTCGGCTTTGGCTTTCCGTGCCACACACGTTTTGTACTTTCTTTTCTGTTTTTTTGTTTCCATTCATTCATTCATTCCTGCTGCTCGGCTCGCTCTCTGTATATTTATTTTTATTGTGTTGCATGTTGTCCCTGTCCCCCGTTCATGTCCCGGTTCCTGTCCCCGTTCCTGTTCCTATCCCTGTGTATACCTACATATATCTTTTTTCTAACCCTCGCACACTGGCACTCCTGCTTGCTCCTTGGAGGCATGCAAAAGGAATAATCGTAGAGAATGTTCCATGAATCATGGCCTGCAGTCGGTTGGCTCAGGTGTGAGAGGGATGGCGGGGGGAGCTGCCAGCTACCAACATATTTGTGGTTACACTTATATGACTCCGCTCAGCTCTGGCTGGAGGTGTTTGGGGGTCGGTCTCATGCTTCAATCAATTTTTCAATTTTTTGTTGCAGGCCTTTGCATGCCATTGGAAATACAAAATACAAATACATATGTACATGCATGCATATGTACATATGTATCTGGATCTCAGTCGATCCTTTTTCAATATACAAAAAAAATGAGAGCCGTTCTCCAACTCCCCCAAGTCCCACAACCATTTGCTCGTAATATATTTTCATTGCAACAATTACCGAAGATCATAATAGAAAATTAAGTAGAGTAAAGGAGGCACAGACAAAGGTCCTTTCACCCAGCACACAGCAGTGACACACACAGACGATGGGTGGTTCGGGGGGGTGGGGTTGATAAAGGAAAAGTTGCATAAAAATGTCGATTGTTGACTTTTTATGCGAAATATGCGTGATTCCCGACAAGTTTTTCGGGGCAGGATGAATGAATGGAATGGAATGGACTGGAATGGGTGTAGTACTCTGGGTATGTGGGGTACATTATGTCTAATAAACATTTTGTGCCCTATAAAAGAGCAATGAATGCGGAAGCCCATCGCTGCCAAACACGGCCTGTGCGTGTTTATGGCCAAATGATGAAGACGAACGAACGAACGAACACAGAACAGCCAACGAGTCCCACAGCCCGAACAAGCGGAACAACAGCAAAAACATTGCCAATGAACAAGAAGCATTTTGAACAACAATTAAACGCACAAGAGAATCCGCTGGAAAAAAAAAAACAAATAGCCAGAAGTCGAAAGTCGAAACACACAACACAACAGGAATCAGGGAATTAAACTAATAATCTGACTTATATCCATCTGAATTTACCCCTTTCTGTTTTCCTTGCAGATCTCCAACGGCAGACGAAGCACCAATAAAAACAAAACAGCGCAACAGCCAGAGAACCAGAGAAACTCTGCTCAAGAGGTAAATCTAACTATAAGATTCAGAAGGCTGCAATAATATTTGGGGGAATTCATTCAAAGAAATAACGAAAAGTGGCAGCAGTTTTTATTGAGAATATTTGCATATCAGACAGAAGTTATTTACCAAAAGTTCAGGCAAGAAAATGAGCTGGAAGTTCTGACAGATAAAATGGCATATTAAAAAGAAGCCACAAATAAATTAAGTATTCGGTTTTAAATCAAAAAAAGGTAAAATTAAATAGATTTCACTTTGATTTAAAAATAAATGCATTAAAAAGTATTTAATCTAAATATAAAACAATCTAAAATAAATAAACCAAATTTGTACTAAATTTTTTTTAATCTGAATATGAATTATAAACTATAAAGATAAATTAATTAAAAAGTATTTAATCTAAATATAAAACAATCTAAAATAGATAAACCAAATTTGGTACTAAATTTATTTAATCTGAATATGAAATATATTTGTTCCACACATAAAATATATTTAGATCAAATACCAAAGGTGAAATGCAAGTAAAAACAATTTAATTTTTGTAATTTAATTTCCACTGCAAATTGCAAACCAATTGCTATAATTCGATTGTCAGGGCTTTTTTCCGCCCGTATTCCCGTGTATTCCCATAATACTTAAGTACTCTTTGAATCTTGCACAATTCTTCTTTGTGGAAGATTTCTGGCTGGAGATTTCCCAGTACAAGTATCGTATGGGTTCAAGCACTTTTGTTACGGTCATGCGAGTGGCATTACACAATGTCGAATAGTAATAATAAAAATACGAAAAGCACGAAACAAAATTGTAAAAGAAACAGCGAGAAAATAAAGACACAAAGCATAGCCCACGCCAAGCCCTTGGCGAACCGAAATCAGTGTGGCAACCCTGCACCGCCTCGAGTTTCGCGTCCATAATAATTAGTTATAATCGGATTTAGTCGACACAGACAGGCTGAAGGTGTCGCCAGTGGAAGTTGTCTCAGTTGTGGCAGCAGCTTGTTGGTGCATGTGGCTGGCTGGCTGCAAGCCACACACGGAAAGAGAGCGCGTGGTAGGGGAAGGGGAAGGGTAAGGTAACGCCCACACAACCCACCAATATAACGGTCGACCACAAAGCAATCAAACGAAAAAGGAAAAACCTGACAACTCTGAGTGGGTCGCTGGAACCAAAATCGGATTCGGAATCGGGGAAAACTGTATCTGTATCTGAGACACTTGCATCTGGTGGGTCTCCCTGTCTGTAGTCTCTAGTCTCTCTGCCTCTGCACCTTTTCGCTGGCTCTGTCTGTGGCTCTGGCTCTGTGTTCATTATTATTGCTCTTTTCTAACACGTTTCAATACGAGTCGAATTGAGTAGAGTCGCGTCGCGTCGCATCGCATCGCATCGCCTCTAACTGAATGCACCAACTAAACCAAGTCGAAGTTTTTTGTTTGTTTGTGTGGCCCCACACAGCAGAATGGAGGAATAGGGCATCGGAGTGGAGTGGAGTGGAGTGGGGGAGCCCCACCTGTACCTGTGCCTGTACCTGTACCTGTGCCTGTGTCTGTACGGCGGAAAAAGGTCTCTTTCTTCTCGCATCTGGTGGCTCTTATTTATTGTTGAATTGATTTGTATTTGTGGATATTTTTTGTGTACGATTTAAAATAGGTTTCTGTCCTCTCTCCCTGCTCTCTGCTTCTCTTCGTTTTTTTTTTTTTTTCGGCTCTTCCGGGGCCCTGCACTTGCTGCAGTGTCATGTGGCTGGGTCTCTGGATGGGGGACACTCGTATAACTCAATTAGCCGCATGAAGGCAGGGCCCCCAAAACGGACAAAGGAATAACCCATTGAGAGCCCACAGAGCCACAGAGCCACAGATGAGGTAGCAGCCGGCCAAGATTGTTTATTCTTCTCGTTACGTTACGTTCCCTTGTTCGTTCTTTCGGCTTTTGTGGTGCCCCAACCAGGTATCAGGGTACCCAAAAAAAAAAACAAACCTGTGACAGCTGTCAAGTGAAGATTTTACAGATTTTCTGGTCAGGCAATTGTCGTTGTCGCTGTCGTTGTCGCAACGTTTGCTGCATTACGAGCATGCTTAGGTGGGATGGATGATAATTTGAAAAGAAAACACTAAATATGTGAGTATTTTAGCGGTAAACTAGGGGAGTTATGGGAGCCATGGGAACTTTGTCAATGGATCTTGAAGATCTACTGAATTTGTGTAACCAGTAGGTAGCCAGTTTTTTATTGTTTATTAATTGGTTCTTGCGGCACAAGTTTAGAAAAAACTTAAAATTTAGTTTACTAGTCAGCATAAAAAAAGATATTCTCGGCTTAATTTAATTAATCAATTTTGGGATAATTTTGTACGCTACCTAGTAATTATTTATATCTTAATATATATATATATTTTTTAATTATTTATTTATTTATTTTATTTATTAATTTTATTTATTTATGAATTAATTTACTAGTTTATTATATTATTTGAATGTTTTTTTTCCTGTTTTGTATTTTTTATACTATATACATTTTTTTTATTTTTTATTTTATATATACATTTTAATTTATTTATTGTTATTAGTTCTTGGTAAATACATATATTTGTATTTTAATGCTTAGCCTGGCTGGTTGTCTCAGAGATCCTCCTACTCCTCGTATAGTCCCGAGTTCCAGAAACAACTCTCGAGCTGGTGCTGCTGCTGCTGGTCCGAGACTTCCATTTCGACATCGACATTTTTCACTCTGTTTGCCAATCGCGTGGCTCCAACTCCGACTCTATCTCCGGCTGGTGGCTAGTGGCTTGGATTGGATCGATCTATGTCAAAGCGTCGGCCCACACGCTCTCCGCTATGAGGAGAAATAAAACGAAACGAAACGCAACGCAACGGAATGAAGTGAAATAATAAAAAATGCTTGGATATGTGTGTGGGCGAACTTGGACTTGGAATGGAACTCGAATGGAGCATAAAATATGTTAATAAGGCTCAAAGTTATACAAATCTCGGACTCTCGGCTGAAAGACGCCGGCACAGGCACAGGCACGGGCACAGATCGCTTGTAATACAAAACCATAAACATGAATTTGAAAAAAATGCTAAAATAAAGTGGAGAAGCCGAAGTCGAAATCGAACTGGGGAACCCAAAACCCAAAAACCAAAACCCCCGAACCCCGAACCTCTAGCCGATGCCGAGCCCAATCACAAGACAGACCCCAAAGACTCTGTTCGAGAGACGACAGCTGCTGGCCGGACTGCCCCGCTTTTGAGAGCCGCTTCTTCTTGTCATTGTTGCAGTGACAGTGTATCTCCCAGAGCAGAGTATCTTTTCTTGGCCTGGCTTAATTTCCTGCTGCTGCCCGACCTCAACTTGTTCTTCCCTAGCCTTTTGTTGCTGTCGCGGCACACACACACACATCTTCTCCCCGAACATCGAAGTGAAGAAGAACAACAGAAAAAAAAAATAAAAAAAACCAACCACGAAATCAGTTAAGTTCAGGTGTTCAATTTACTGATTGAAATTCAGCTTCGATGTGGCCAAGCAACTTTCATTGTGGCTCTGACTCTCCCCGAATCCCCAAACTCCAAGCCCCAAACACCAAGCCCCCAGTCCACAATCCACAATCCACAATGCCACAGAGTGTACGAGTGAGGGGTATACACCTTTTCCTGCTCGTCTGTCATCATTTTCTCTTATGATTTTATTTGGAGTTTGGGCTGCTGCTGGGCACTGCGAGCGATGGCTGTCTGTCTGTCTGTCGTCTACATCTATGGGTTCGTTTCATAATTTTATGCCCGGCCATGTCAGGAATTATGTTAGAATTATGCTAATGAGAGTCAGATCGATTCCAGATGCTTTAATTATACACGGTTAACAAGTTTTTTTTTCGTAGTTTCTTTAGCCTTCCGTCGTCTTATCCTATCCCCCTCCATCAACACACGGAGCTGAAGCTGCGGCTGCGGCCGGAGCTGCAAAAGAATTGATGAATAACTTAACTGGTCGTCGGGCCGGGCATTTGCTCGGTACATATTGATATGAAAGGCATGCTAGCCGTGTTAGCCAACACTGGTCGGTGGCTTGGTGGCTCGGGGGAGCGGTGCCTCGAATTGATTCAAAATTAAATTGATTTAACTTATGAAATCTGAGCTGCGATCGAGTTTCGTTTTGGCATCATTAATCTTTTGGTGGGGTTTTTTTTTTATTTTTGGAAAAGAAACACTAACATGTAGCATGTGTTGACCAGTGCTGCATAACACTCAATAAATTATATATCAATTTATGTTTTAACTGTGACTTTGCTTCGAAGAGTTAACCATTTATGTATAGTGTTGCTTACGTGATAGCTTTAATGTGCAGTTACCCAACACTGGCACACAGAACTCTTTCAATTCAATCCCAAAACACTTTTGCTCACTAGCCTCAATCCTTGGAGGACTTATTATAATTTTTTTTATTTCTTAAGGAACTTCCTACATTTACCAACACTGTATCGTTGACAACTGGAAGAGCTCTTCACCCTTTTTTCTGGTTTTGCTTGGAGTAGTACTGCGCTTCTCGCCTTTGTATCTGCTGATTGAGTTTTCCGCTGAAATGGGATGGGAGCGATGACCTTTTTATCTGGCGTTTACTGTTGTGTTAACTTTTGCTGACTTTGTAGTCCTGGCAAGGACTTGGCCCCCAAGTTCCACTGAATGGCTCTGAATATGTCTGTCTGTGTGTGTGTGTGTGTGTGTGTGGGCCATTAATAGGCGATTTAAGTTTATTTTTTGGCCGTTGCCTTTTTATTGACACTGGACCCGGGCTTGGGCTTCGGCTCGGTTTCGGGCACGGGCTCTCTGTGATCCCGGTACTCCATTTAGCCAGGCTTTTGCCTTGGGGGCCCACACACACACACACACACAAACACATTTGTCTTGGGCTCCTTTTGGTCTCTTAATCAGACGGGGATGCAGAAGGAAGAGAGAGGCGAATGCGCCCCAAATTGAATCCCTGGAAGCCATCATTGTTCGGCCTCATCCTCTTTGGC